TCAAAGCATAACATCGGTATACAAAATCAATCATTCTTTGTCTGTAACCTTGTCAGTTTATAAGCACAAGACCATTAAAGATATTGAATGAAAATAATTTCTGATCATGATGTCCAGGATATGGATATTCTAGACAATTTGTCTATTCAAAAATGCTTGTAAATGTTGAATACATATTTTAAATTACACCTACAGTGCTTTTCGCAACTGCTACAGACCTCTACTTTTCACAATAGTCTACTTGTTTAAGATCAGTTTAAAGATTTTTTGCTTATGCAGGTGTACATTTGATGAACAGGTCATTTGCAACCAATGCTGAGATACAGTGTTATATTGCTCCAAAAAGTATTATTTTCTCAATCCCACAGAATTAACCTCAAATAGCCTGTAAATATTGATTTACATGAATGACAGGGATACCAGTAAATAGTTGATTAAATACATGTACTCACAGCTAAAGTTTGTCCTTCTCGAAAAAATATATCAGAATTTATCTCTTTTGGAAGTGTAACAGCATCATAAGAAAATGCAGACTCCTGTAGAAATAAAAATATCGCAAATGTAATCGACTGTATGGAAGATTTATCTGAGAAATACAATGAGGTAACATACCTTAGTGTGATGTGTGGCTGTTATACATCATAGTTACTTCTTGTATCCTTTATTGAATGGCATCAAACATTGTAGCAATTGATGTCTAGATAAGATCAACTATGTATCCTTCTGTGTACATAGATGTAACACATAGGACCTAGTGCAGGCCCCAGATTCACAGAACAACCATTAAATGTTCCCTTTTAATTTTATCTCTTTTCAATTTTTTGTATTTCTTTGTATTTATGTTCTTTGCCATACAAAAACCCTCTGAAGGTTTTTAGTAGTGTAATAAAATTATTTATTGTTATCTATTAAAAGGAATCCCCCCGAATGTAATTGTATATGCCCCTCTAATAACTATACATGTCCTGAAGAGGGGCAATTAAATTATACAATGTAGTTAAGAGTGAGGTAGTTCTAAGGAAGTCTTATCTATTAAAGTATCATATGTGAATGATAGCAACAGTTCACTAGCATATTTCTCATTTCATTCCGTGTTCAACCAAGCACAGTCCCTCTATACTGTGAACCAAGGTATTGCCAAGTCATGTCATGTTTTGAAGGTCAATACACAGTACAGTACTGTACTCAGCTAGTTGATGTCAACCATTAGCAATATCATTGATAGCCCTGTGTACATGATTGTATATAAATGTATATAGCACCGTACAGGATTACAGTTGGAAAGATATCCTGACCAGATATCCTGATCAATAAAAACCTGTACCCACAGACGCTCGGAACGTTTCTTGGATAATAAAAAAATGACCTAAAGTAGGGTCGGCATAGTTAGTCAGTCGCCGGTCAACCGACCAGTACCATTTATCATTGTGTATTTATTATTGGAAATAAGTTCAACGTCAATCAGACCAAATACAGGTGATTTGTTGGATATAACATGTTATGTCAAACAACTCGTAAATCCCAACCACGCCCATTTATTTCAATAATGCAGACGACATA